CATTCCCTTTTTGTTCTTAATTTTTTGATTTCTGGAATTATCTTTTTTTCTTCTTTGACTATATTCTTTTTACTTAAAATTTTCTGTTTGATATTGAGTTTATTTCCTCTTTTATTTTCTAATAAATGTATCTTGAAGCTTTAGGTTTTCCTTTAAGTTTTCTTTAATCTAGTTCAACAGATTTGAACATATGGTTTTCATTGTAATTCAGTTTTAAGTATTTTGTGACTTTTTTCTCAGGGCCTATTTTCTAATTTAAAGATAAGTTTGTAGTATGGTTTTTTTTTTTAAGATAGAGTCTTCCAGTGTCACCCAGCTTGGAGTGCAGTGGCGCTATCTCAGCTCACTACAACATCTGCCTCCCAGTCTCAAGCAATTTTCCTGCATTATCCTGCCTCTCAGCCTTATCTGGGATTACAGGCATGAGCCACCACGCCCAGCTGGTAATATGATTTTTAATTTCCAGACATACAAGATTTATCTTATTAGTTTTATAACTATAAACTTCTATTTTTTTTGCATGTTTATAGTAAGAGAGTGTGGTTTACATAATGTTAACTCTTTGGAACTTATTTTGTCTTTAATATGGATAGTTTTGTTAATGTTTTATATGTGCTTGAATATAATCTTTATTTTGTATTTGGTGGATGGGAAATTCTCTATAAAGTAATGGTCTTGAGCTTATTAATTATTCTCTCCAAATTTTCTACAGTTTTGCTTATTGGTCTGCTTGAGCAATCTATTTTTGAAAGAATATCACAAATATTCAACTGTTATGCTTATTTTTTCATCATTGAGTTATGACACAAATACATAAAGATAAAACAATATAAATGGAGGCTGGGTGCAGTGGCTCCTGCCTTTAATTCCAGCACTTTGGGAGGCCATGGTGAGTGGATCCCTTGATGTGAAGAGTTCAAGACCATCCTGGCCAGCATGGCAAAACCTCATTTCTACTAAAAATACAAAAATTAGCTGGGCATGGTGGCACAACCCTTTAATCCCAGCTACTTGGGAGCCTGAGGCAGGAGAATCACTTGAACCCAGGAGTCAGTGAGCTGAGATTGCACCACTGCACTCCATCCTGGGCAACAGGGTGAGTAAGACTCTGTTTCAAAAAATAAATAAAATAAAATAAAATAAAATAAAATAAAATAAATGTAAAGCTCAGTGAATTGTCAAAAGTTAAAACATTCAGGTCATTACTACCCAGGTTATAAAATAGTACAATACCAGGTTTTTAGAATTGTTTTTGTTTTCCCCTCGATCACTAGAAACCTTTATCTCCAAAGATAACCAGAAGAGTTCTCAGACTATAGAATCATTTCACTTGTTTTTAAGCTTTACGTAAATTGAACCATGCTTTTTTCTTCTATCTTCTAACATTATATGAGTCATTCATATTGTTTTTAGTATCACTATTGTTCATCCTATTTTTTATTGCATTGCAGTGTTTCATTGAATAAATACAATGATACATATATCCATTGTACCGTTTATGGACATTCGGGTTATTTTCAAATGAATAAAAGTACTGGGAATGTTCTCATCCATGCTCTTTGGCATATAGATGCCCTGCATTTTTATTGGGCATATTCCCAGGAATAGGGTTTTTTGGTCAAAGGGTATGTGTCTGACTTTAAAAGATAGCACACGACAGCTTTCCATAATGGATGCACCAATTCGTGCCCCAGCACCAGCAGTATAAGAGTTCTGGTTGCTGCATGCTCTCAGGACTCCTGGTACTGTCAGTCTTTCTCATGCGAGCCACTCTCAGTGGGAACTGATGTCTTATTGTGGCTTCAGCTTTAATTGCCCCAATAACTGATACTGTTGAGCGATTTTTCACAAATGAATTGGCCACTTTATTGAGCATCTGTTCAAATTTCTTAGCCATTTTCTATTGGGTTTTCTATCGTTTTCCTATTGATTTATTCAAATTTATTATTTATTCTGGATATGAGATCTTTGCAAATTACCAATATTTTTTCCCATTTTAAGATTCACTTTATAATCGAATAATATATTTTGATAGACTAAAATTCTTAATTTTTATATATTACACTGGATTTTTCTCTTTTTTTAAATTAGGGCTTTGTGTGTCCATTTTAAGAAATCCCTGCTTACACAAAGTTTAGAAATATATTCTGCGTGTTCCTAAATCAGCACTATCCATTAGAATTATAATGTATGTGACAACTTTGAACCACAGATAAGATCTTAATTTTTGGTAGCCATAATATAAAATAAAATTGGTAAAACTAATATGAATAATAAAAATGATTAGTAACTTTTTTGTTCTTTTTCTTTAAGACTTCAAGTTTTAGTCAGATTTCAAGAGCTGATAACCACAAGTGACTAATCACTATCATATTGGGTGACCCATTTCTAGAAGGGTGCGTGATGCGCCATTCACATTTAGCTCCACCATCTTTGTGCAATTGACTTTTGTGTGTGTAATTAGGTAGCATACCTAGCAAGGAAACTAGGTAGCTTCAAGAAGCAAAGGAAGATCTTCAGGATCCCGAGCCAATCTGGGTACCTTAGGAACTAAGATAGGGCTTGATCGTACTAGGACTTTATGAATTCTTATTTCTGCATATTCTCTTATTCCATGAGGACATTTGCAACATGGCAAGGAACATGGCCACCTGTTTTTCTCAGGTCACATCTTTACAATCTCCAGCAAGAGAGGAGAAAAGCTAATTCTAATTCTGTTTAGAAATATTCCAGCTCAGGTAATATTCCAATACTCTGCAGCCAGAGCAATGGATTATTTTTGGCTGGGTCTAGATTATATGCCTATATTTATAACTGTGGCACAGAAATTGTTACCAGAAAAATGGTAGCTACCATTATACATTATGTCTATTTCTACTATGAGATGATGTGATGAAGCTGGGACTATTTCTCATGCACAGTAAGCAGGAAATAAGTATTTGCGAATAGCACAAGGATAGTCCCATAATTTGACAGCTATGCTTAAAGTAAGGCCTAGCACAGGACAAACAACACGTAGTCACTTGCTTTGGACTCATTTTTATGATACACAAGTATTTGAGGACCATACAAACTCTTAGTTTACAAGTTTAGAACTGGTGATTTTAGAGTTCATTAACATTAGAGTCAATTCAACATTTTCTTTATAAACGGCATTTTCTACGGGTTTTGGGGTGCTCAGAAGAGGTACACTGGTGTCTTTAGTAGCAATATGCAGCGTTGCAAAAATTCTGAGCAGTAGCCTCTGTCTTTCATGACAGTACAATCCTTTTGGTTTTTAGTCTAATATCAGCCATTTTTCTTGGCAATTAAAAAAAATACTGTGAGGAAGACAATGTTATTTAATATTGATATTCCTTTAGAATTCATTCAGCTTCCTAACTGAGTGAGGTCTTTGGCTCAACTTGTTAGTTCAGTTATTATAACAAAATTTAAAATTAAAGTGTGACACTGTGTTAATTAGAGAGAGAAAGTTGCTGTTCCCTGAGATTCCAAGTGTCCTACGTTTACTTCACATTTTTTCAGAGTTAATATGTTTCCCTTATTGGGAACAAAAGCCTCTCCCCCTTAGGTACATTAATCAGGAGAATTGTGTGAGTGAAAGGAGATGGAGGAGGAGGAAGAGAACTGGAAAGAAAAGAGTATCTCTTTAGCTTCCTTCTTTAGGAGTTTTAGCAAGATTGCATGAGGAAAATGACCTATTTTTGTTTTCTGAAGACATAGCAGCTGAGAAAAAAAAAACATTTGTTTTGGCTTTATAAAAACTTTAACTTGGTATAAAGTTAAAGCCAAGTTGGTATAGCTGAAGCCAATTATATAGAATTTAGATAGATGATTGAAATAGGAATAAAATGTAGCCTCAATTATTTGGCCAGAAAAGCACTGAGGTAGTGTAATTTTCTCAGGTGCCAACATAACAGAAAATGGTTCTGACCTTTTCCATGCTGCTTTCCTAATGGCTATTTCTTATTTCTCTCTTTGATCATCCTGACAGTACTTGACTCCCTTCTTCCCTTCAGACCCCTCTCCATGCCAGCCTCTCACACACAGGCTTTTTGTTTTTTTTGTTCAAAGGTTCAGAAGCATATTTAATGGTGTGTATAAAGGTAGCTGCAGGGTAATGATAACATTCAATGCTTCTCTCTGAATCCAAACCACATATAACTATAGCCAAAAATGATATCTAGGATTTCTTTTCTCTTAGTATTTGTTTTTTCTTGGCACTTGGTTGAGAAAGTTAGAAGGGTTTAAAAATGTTTTGTCTTTTTGACTATTGCAAAGTAAATATCTTAATCTTAGCTTACATTTTTAATGTATTTGACATATATCATCATAATATAACAATAGTTTATGTCATGTAGAAAACAGTCATACATAATATCATTACTTTCTGTAATTACTATTCTGTGTTTTCCTTTACAGGCTTTTGCTATGTGCGTATTTTTATATAATTGTCATTATGTAATTTTGAACTTAGAATCTTTGTTGATAATTCAAAGGAACAACATGACAACGAAGAATATGTATCTTTCACTTAGTTCAAAAAAATCACCTAGTGCTGATAAGAATCAGAAAAAGACGATTTTCCTGAGTCATGGTGAATTTTATATTTGTCACACTCAGATGGTGATTTTAAATGCTGTTTTATTATTAGTTGTAAGAATAATTTTGTCTTTTAATGTTGAGAAAGGCTTACAGTTGCATGTATGTGACTGCAGCTATAAAGTGTAGAATCTTTTTAGTTTTGTAAATATTAGATTTGACTGTATTGCCTTAAAAGACACTCGAAATAAAAATAAGCATTACACAAATTATGAAATTCAAACTGTTTGTTATAAACAGTGCCGCTTTAGGATACTTTCTATTCACAAAACAGTCATGTGTAAAATGTTTTTATACATGCATTAAAAAAAAGAAACTCCTTAAAATGAAGTAACTATTTCCTGTTTCAGTTTTGATTTTCTTTTCGTTGAAGAGCTTTTGTTGCTCACTAAGAGTTGCTTTAAATCTCTGGGAAGATCTGTTCCGAATTTACTACTTCTGGATTGGCTAAAATCTCTTTAAAGTGTGTGCTTTGTTCTCTAAAAGGCTTAGGTCAGTTGAGCAACAAGCTGCTCCTGTTTTCGTATTTTTTTTTTTTTTTTTTAGAAAAAAGGCTGAGTAATGCTGGAGCTTTCTCGTGTGGCTGATGCAAACCTGGAGAATTTGCATCATCATTTAGCTGTAGTAAGTTGGTGTGACAGGCAGGCGCTTAAATACAAGCCCATGAGGAAGCTGAGCTGGTTTGTAATGATAGGGCGGCAGCAGGAGCAGCAGCAGCAGCAGCAGCAGAGTGGTAGAACGAGGAGATGGAGAACTGAGAGCACGATGCGTACACAGGTGTTTCTGAGTAGTAATTAGATCGCTGTGAAGGACAAAGCACACCTTTGAGTTGTTACCTGTGAACGAAGTAGCTCTGAGAGAGACAGTCTGAAAGCAAAGAGGAAGACATCAATCAGTAACACCAAGAGACACCAAAGTTGAAAGTTTTGTTTTCTTTCCCTCTGGTTTATTTCAACCCTGTGTGTCCCTACTATGGTCAGAAAGCCTGTTGTGTCCACCATCTCCAAAGGAAGTTACCTGCAGGGAAATGTTAACGGGAGGCTGCCTTCCCTGGGCAACAAGGAGCCACCTGGGAAGGAGAAAGTGCAGCTGAAGAGGAAAGTCACTTTACTGAGGGGAATCTCCATTATCATTGGCACCATCATTGGAGCAGGAATCTTCATTTCTCCTAAGGGCGTGCTGGAGAACACAGGCAGCGTGGGCATGTCTCTGACCATCTGGACAGTGTGTGGGGTCCTGTCACTGTTTGGTGAGTGCGACTTTTTCTCTGGGGGGGGCGTGGCTGTGGGGTTGGGAAGCTTGCTTTCTGGGAAAGCAAATGGTCATTTTGGAGGAGTGAATGGATGGCAAAGGCCACACCACATTTTTAAAATTTTTGTTCAGGTACATGAACTACCCAGACGCAACATCCACTGTTGGTGTGATCTGGAACTCCTCAAATTGCTTCCTACAGGCTGTACTTTCTTTTCCTAATACAGGCTATTTTCTGACTTTTACCCGTGGTGATGCAAGCAAAGGCTAACTTTTATGACCCAGTAAAAAACACGCACAGTTTCTGTGCAGGGCAGTTGTGCTTAGTTTGGGGCATTCTGGCAGCTGGCATGCTGAGTGAGACACCTATGGAGTGGAACCTGGCATGGGCTATTTAGACATAGAACAGAGTGTTCAGCAGAAGTCTTACTGACTTTTTAATAGCAAAACAAATGGGTGACAGTCTTTTTAAGAATATTTTGTAAGTTCATGTGCTTGTCAGATCTTAATATTCTTTCAAAAGTCCTTGACCTGGAGAGATTATGATGGCGCATAACTCAATCCCTATCATAAAGAGGCATATTGCAATGGCCTGAGCATATTTCAAATTATTTTTCAACCTTTCATCACTCCTCACCACCCATACACTTTTGCAATACAGGTTTTAAAAAGCTGGGTGTTAGTTTGCTGTGCTTGCCCAGATCTGTTATTTTCATCTATATTTCGCTTGCTCTCCAGAGACACAGATAATTTGTCCACCTGTTCAATGAATTAATCTGAAGGGAACTAGTAGAAGTATAATTACTAATTTTTCTTCAAAATTTATGTCTCATCTATTAATTTGAGAATTAACAGTAAAGGGGTAAATAAATGGCCCTTATGAGATAGACAAATTACTAGAAAGCTACCTGAGTTTGTTGTAAAGATGATAAAAACTGGCTAATTGTCAAAAAAATATTAAATTTGATTTATGCTATAAGGATGTATTTACTCTTCTTGGGAAAGATTCTACACTTAAAAGTTGCTTTGTTTTGACTCTGGGACTAAGTCTAACTAACAAGTACTAACGCTAACTAGGACTAACACGTACTAACTCTTGATACTATGTGTACCAATCCATTTATTCTTTCTATTCAGGCCCTGTGATATTTTAAATCATTGGTTTGACACTTATCTAGAGAACTCAAATTCCATTTTTTTTTTCTTCTGAGATGGGGTCTCGCTCTGTCGCCCAGGCTGGAGTGCAGTGGCGCAATCTCAGCTCACTGCAACCTCTGCCTTCTGGGTTCAAGCGATTCTCCTGCCTCAGCCTCCTGAGTAGCTGGGATTACAGGCATGTACCACCACACCGGACTAACTTTTTGAATTTTAGAAGAGACAGGATTTCACTATGGTCCTGATCACCTGACCTCGTGATCCACCTGCCTTTGCCTCCCAAAGTGCTGGGATTACAGGCATGAGCCATTGTGCCTGGCTCTCAAATTCCACTTTTAGGAAGAAGTTATTTTAAATAACACTTGTTAAAACAAGGTCATAGTATAGAAAGATTTATAGAGGAATTATTTTGTGTTTTTAAGAAAGAGTTTGTGAGTCATATTTATATGACTAAGTTGTGTTTTATTAAATATTAAGTAACAATTGTGTGCCAGTATTATTTCTCAGTATTACTTTCCATTCTTATGAAATAATTTGGAGTAATATGGTATGAAAAACTCTAATAGTACCCTTAGCCACTATTAATATTAAAATAGCTCTGGTGTATGCATTTATGGATAAGGGGAAACCTAATTGTTGATCATCTTAAATGACTTTGTGCACCCTTAGCCTTTAAATCTTCCTAGAGCACTTTATATATTCAGAATAAATCAACAGCTAATCAGAAGAACCACAACCAGTTTACCAGACTTTGCATACTTATGTGCATGCAGCTTCTACTATGTGATTCACTTTTTGCACATAATAAAGGATTACTCAGATGTAATAAAATAGATTACTATGAGTATTGAACTAGATAAAGTGATGGTGACTTGCGCTATGAAAATATGTGTATGCATATTATATATCATCTTAAAAAGCTCAAAAGAACATAAAAAAGAGGAAACAGCTAAGGAGACTAGCTAAGATTACACTTAAGTTGGTATTTTTTTGATTAGTAATTGCAGGGAGTGTGCTATTGTATTAATCTACTTATCTATATTTACACTGCATTTGTCACGTAAGTTACCAGAAGCTTTTGGACGGGAGTGCCTCCCTAACAGCAGGCAAAGCAAAATGTAAAGAAAATATAATCCTTCTTTTTGAAAAGATTCTAGAACTCTGGGAACAAGTGTAAAGAATCTGTATATTTGGTTATATATAAATATATAATATATTATATAATTAAATAAATAAATATATTTGTGTGCATATTTTTAAGTGAAGGGTCAATATATGGATTTTTACATCTTGTTTTGAACTTTTTCCATCTGGGCAAAATGGTTATGAAGCTTGAGACCTTTAAATGAAAATCATTCCCCCAGAACCCAGTTTAAACCTAAGGCAACCATCCTGGAGTTTTAGCAAAGCATACAGAGGTCTAGGTATTGATTCTCTGACAATAAATTCTGAGGTACTTAAGACTCCTTCCAATAACATTTTATATTGGATCCTTTTCTGGACAGCCTACCAACATGGCGAATGTTTCCCCATGGAGAGTGAGTTGCAACTAATTACGAGTAGTTATAGATGGAGGAAATATATCAGTGTTCCCCAGATATCAGTCTGCAGACTAGTTACTTTAGAATTAATTTGTGCAAATTTTAAAATGACAGAGATTCTTGAATTTCTCTGGTAGAAAATCTATACTGTCTTGATTACAGTCTGTTTTTCATTTGAGTGTTTTTGAATTAAAAATTATTCCCAGATGAGGCCTGGTGGCTCATGCATTTTATCTCAGTATTTTGGGAGGCTAAGGCAGACAGAACCCTTGAGCCCAGAAGTTCCAGACAAGCCTGGGCAACATGGTGAAACCCTGTCTCTACAAAAAATACAAAAAAATTTAGCTGAGCACAGGCCTGTGGTCCCAACTACTTGGGAGGCTGAGGTGGAAGGATTGCTTGAGTTCGGGAGGTGGAGGCTGCAGTGAGGCAAGATTGCACCACTGCACTCCAGCCTAGGTGCCAGAATGATACCCTATCTCAAAAAGTCACAAAAAGTTACGCCAAGGTGACTTAGTTGTCATGAGAAGTTTAGAAATCAGATATAAAATAGGTGACACAAAGATTTCACTGAATATCCAAATTATATTTATATTGGACTGTTCTGTCAGTAATACTTTTCTACACTTCTATTTTCAGAAGTAGCTTGAGCAAAAATTGTGTTCTTACATTTGAGCACTTGACAGTACAGAGAGAACTTTTCACATAATGACAAGATATACTTTTTATTTTCTTTTTAATTACTCAAATTAATAAAGTATAGCTATATTTCATGTGGTACTTCCCATGTGTCAGCCCATGTACTGTCTCTGGTACCCACTGCCACATTTATGCATGCAACTAACTCCCTTATGAGGTAGAAATTGCGATCTCTATTTTACGGAGAGTGAAACTGAGGTTTTGAGGGGTTGCATATTTGTCTAATTTTATGTGAGTTGTATTGTTATATGTTAAAAATTTAGCTTATAGTTAATTTGATCTAATATACACAAATATAAATTATTGCACCTCATTTTAAAAAGTATATTCTGGCCGGGAGTGGAAGCTTATGCCTGTAATCCCAGCACTTTGGGAGTCCAAGGTGGGCAGGCCTAGTCAACGTGGTGAAACCCCATCTTTACTAAAAATATGAAAATTACCCAGGTGTGATGGCAGGCACCTGTAATCCCAGCTACTCGGGAGGCCGAGGCAGGAGAATCACTTGAACCTAGGAGGCGGAGGTTTCAGTGAGAGGAGATTGCCACTGCACTCCAGCCTGGGTGATGAGAAACTCTATCTAAAAAAAAAAAAAATGTATATTATTCCAACCATTTAGAATGTACACTTCAAAAACATCCAAGATAGCCTTTTATAGAAACAGACTATGTCAGAATTCATTATGTTGACAAAATATATCCTACAGATTAAATGAAATCTTGCAAGACGTAGAGTCCCTAGTTTTCTAAAGAGTGGATACATTGGGAGGCCGAGGAGGATAAATCATGAGGTCAAAAGATTGAGATGATCCTAGCCAACATGGTGAAACTCTGTCTCTACTAAAAATACAAAAATGAGCTGGGCGTGGTGGTGCTCCCCTTTAGTCCCAGCTACTTGGAAGGCTGAGGCAGGAAAATAGCTTGAACCCATGAAGCAGAGGTTGCAGTGAGCCGAGATTGTGCCACTACACTCCAGCCTGGTGACACAGTAAGATGCCGTGACAAAAAAAAAGAGTGGATACAGCTTGTTTATTTTTATTTGCCACAGAACATACTTACTAAAAGGGTTCTCAAAAAAAAAAAAAAAAAAAACTTAAAAAAATTAAAAGCTAACTCAAACATTTGGACTAATGCCTTGTCTTGGTGTAAGGTATGTTATTCTAAAAATAGGTCAATACTATTGGCATTTCTTTTCTCTTTTTGCCCCGTTTCTAGGTTTTAAGCTCAAAATTCTGGAACACATGATATTGTAGACATGTGTCTTTACCATTTCAAGTAAAATTACAGTGTTCAGATAGAATAAACGGTGGGTCTTAGCAATTAGATGACTGTTATTTGTCTTGAATAAGGAGGCCATTCAGAATAAAGCAGGTAGTTACATCTTAGGCAACATAAACATTATTGTATCAATTCTAATGCTAGGCCTCTTGAAAATGTATTAAATTGGTACCGTTTTGTGACAAATATTTCACAGGAGCCTTGTCTTATGCTGAATTGGGAACAAGTATAAAGAAATCCGGAGGTCATTACACATATATTTTGGAAGTCTTTGGTCCATTACCAGCTTTTGTACGAGTCTGGGTGGAACTGCTCGTAATACGGTAAGAGCATAGTAGAAATAATTAAGAAAAAATAAACCAATTAATTCTTATGAATCACATTGATTATTTTTAACTGGTCAGAAATATGAATGTCGTGTGACTGTGTGATAAGCATATTTACCTGAGGATATAAAGCCTGTGATAAAATACCTTTCTGGATTAAGATATTTGTAATGCAATTTTGTCACTGTCAAGCAAGCAGTTCGCCAAACTTCTAAAAGTATTTACCTTTCTTTAACCCTCAGCTATTCTGTTTGACACTTCTAGGAGAAAGATTGTTACTTGAAAGGATCTGAACATGAAAGTTCACCTGGATACCTTTTGACTGACTAGACAAAATTAAATATTACACTAGGAATTAGAGTTTTTTCTTATTGTAGATTACACCATTATGTCATTTAACTTTAGTCATTGTGATGAAGACACTTCTGTGCCTAACAACTTAGTAAGTCTTATATTTCATAAAAAACCGAGTTTGCATGACAGAGTCAAGTGACTCATTTCCTCACATTAAACAAATCAGGAACTATAGTGGCAAAGGTCTTTTTTGATTTTGTTGTTGTAAGAATGTGTTCACATTCCTGATTGTCTTGGTTTAAAATCAAACTGAATAGTGCTAAGTCACTCTGAATATCTAGTTTCCTTCAACTTTGTGGGAAGCTTTTGATGTCATATGAGCATTTCAGAGTATCATAGTTTCTTAAGGGTAACTACTGGGATAAAATGTGACATGCCCATTCTGATTACAGAATTTAATGGCTATTACTGGGGAAATCTGCTCATATTAAACATATATGATTGAGAGCTCATGTGAGCTTTTATGGCTAAGTGGCAAATACTGTGCTAATAAGAATTGACTTAACACTAATTATGACTTTTAAGATGTTAGAAGCCTTTTTTTAAATTTACATAAAAAGACCTTCAAAGTAGTGTCATGTATCGTATCAGAATACTTCATGAAGTCTGTTTTCATTTTAAACAATTCTGCATTACTCAAAATTGTTATAATCAAATAATAATAAAGAAGTATTTTCTTTCCTTTCCTAAAATCCCTGTATGGGGAATGTACTTTCTGCTCTTTTTGATTATCTTAATTTTACCTGCTTTTCAAAGGTCATCTTAAATCCTACCTTTCCCACAATTAATTTCCTGTTTATTCTAATTTATGTTATTTCTTTCATCTCTGAAGTCTTCTGGAAAATGCAGTCTCTGCTTCTCATTTGACATTAAACATGATATTTTCTATCCTTCCTTAATATTTTAGGTGTCTACATCTTGTTTCCCTGTTAAAACTGCCAACATTTCAAGTACATAGAGATAAGATCTTTTTGTAACCCTTATACTACTTAATTCAGTGCTCAATTTTAGTTAGGTATTAAATTATTTTTGAATGAGTAATTGAAAGTTTAGCATTAGCATATATTGAGTATGACATACTCAACATTCAAATGCATGTAGTACTTATTTAGACTGCTGGCCTGCCAGGCTGCTGGGCTTTGGAGCTTGATGTAGTTGTACTTGACTCCATCTTCAGTCATGTACTAGTAGTGTAACTTTGGCTTATTACTTGATGTTATAATGAGCATGATCAATCCATGTAAATATAGCTTATATCTTGCAGTAGCAAAGGCAAAATATTCATATATTCATTTATTTGTTCCACAAACTGCTACGGAATGGTAAATGGCAAGAAAAAGATATCTAAAGTGAAATCAGCCATGATTTCTGCTCCCAGGTAGTTGATAATCAAATGTTAAAACTGCTTGTGTGTGTGTGTGTGTGTGTGTGTTGAAAGAGGAAAGTACCTATGTATTCTAGAAGCTTTTAAAATATGTTCATATATCTCTTTGTCATAACATACTCATATTGCTTAGTTGGCCTTTTAAATAGGCAGAGTAACCAATGACATGAAGAGGCACAAGATAGCTAAGTATTTAAACACCTCTTTTTTTACTAATACCCATAGTTCTTAAGTTCTTCCCATTAAAATTATACCTGTAGATTAAGTCAGTATTGCTAAAAATCATCAGTAAAACATAGATTTCAACGAGAGAAATACCACCTCTCAGTACATAGCAGGGGTCATTAAATCAAATTTGTGTATTCACTGTATATTCAGTATATATTGGGTTTCTGCTATGTGATAGACACTGGAGGTAAAATTGTGACAAAGATAGATACAATTTTTTACCCCTAGAGCTCAGAGTCAAGTGGGAGGAAATCATTATCAATCAACAAATCACATAGGTAAATATAAAATTGCTACAGTGATAAGCAATGTGAAAGACAGGCTAAGGGCTTCAGCAAGAATATGGTCCAAGAGATCTGGCCCAGTCAGAGGTTGGAGAGGCTTCCCCTGGCAAAGGAAAATTGAATCAAGATCTTGGGTATAAAACATAGTCCATCAGTTGCAGAGGCTGCAGGCAGAGAAGATTCATATCATTCTAGTGGGAGGAAACTAACTGAAGAGGTACAGAGGAAGAGCTTAGACCAGATGGAGACTTGAATGCAATGGGAAGGATTTTTCCATATCCTGACCATATTTTGAAAGTGCTAAAATGGCATAATCAGATTTTTTTTTTTTTTTTTTTTTTTGAGACGGAGTTTCGCTCTTGTTACCCAGGCTGGAGTGCAATGGCGCGATCTCGGCTCACTGCAACCTCCGCCTCCTGGGTTCAGGCAATTCTCCTGCCTCAGCCTCCTGAGTAGCTGGGATTACAGGCAGGCGCCACCATGCCCAGCTAATTTTTTGTATTTTTAGTAGAGACGGGTTTCACCATGTTGACCAGGATGGTCTCGATCTCTTGACATCGTGATCCACCCGCCTCGGCCTCCCAAAGTGCTGGGATTACAGGCATGAGCCACCGCACCCGGCCCCAGATTTTAAATTATACATGAAAAATCGTATAAATGAAGGAAAATAGTATTTTGTTTGGGAGAAGATGGAAGGGAGTCTGGGAAAAGAAGATAATCGAAAACCTTATTCTGCTCTCCAGTATCAGCTGGCTGAAGTTGGGAACATACATTGGTGGTTGGTTTTCTGATAATCTATGGATCTAGCATGAGTGTTGTATAACCACAAGAAGAAAGAGAAGCTAAAAAGGGAGTTTGGCATAAGAAATTAGATAATTGCACAGACTTGCATAGGCCTACCTCTGTCTAGATCTCATGTAATAAACCAGATTTTTAAGGAAAAGTCAAATACAGGAGAGCAGGGGAAAAGTTGAGAGTACTTGCTCTTGTTCCCAAGAATAAATGAAGTTTAAAAACTAGCCACCGATGTTACAGGAAACATTTCATTTGGAAGGTCTGTGGCAACCTAATCAAGTATAGGTTCTGAAAATTACAGACTTTCATATTTAACCATGTTCCATATGCTAAATACACTCAAGGTAGAAAAAAATTAATGAAAATGCTATTTTTCCCCTGTGGCTAACCTAAATATATACATTGTTTTTAGCCCTGCAGCTACTGCTGTGATATCCCTGGCGTTTGGACGCTACATTCTGGAACCATTTTTTATTCAATGTGAAATCCCTGCACTTGCAATCAAGCTCATTACAGCTGTGGGCATAAGTGAGTATTACGGCTATAAATGTAAAAAAGGAAAGAATAACACAAAAATGATTGAAGACAAAGTTTCTCTAGATGTTTTGCGTTATGGGATTGCTTCTCACATCATGTTCTTTTTGCTTACAGTTCCAAATCTGTGCTGGAAAATAAAGAAACTGGTTTGGAGTGGCATCCAATATTGTATTCCATGCTAGTTGTGTATTTGGTCAATAGATACCAAATGGCTAATCTTTTTAAATAGTAAAAATTACCTTATTAGTAAAATATTAAGTCGATTATATATGAATAAGACTTTTAAAGATGAACCCCAATTATTTTATAGATTATTTGAATTGGAAACTAACTATATATTGAATTATATCTCATGTAATAATGGAGTTACATTTATATGCTGGGTGTGTAAGTTGTGTTCATACATTTTATAGCGCTAGCAGCTGTCACTCCCAGTGTTTTAATGTTAGCTGCCTGTTGTTGCTCATGCAAAGAGTATTCTTTCAAGATTGATTATTAGTGGCATTTCTCAACTGGATTTCCTTATAGTCTCCAAGTTGAGAAGGTGTTCATCTTTTATCAATGAGCACAAATATTTTTTTATTTAAAAAGGAAACAAAAAGAACATGTACAAAATTACATGAGTGATATGAAGCCATATATGACTTTAACTCCCCAAAGATGCCAGGTTCCGAATCCTTAAATATGGGAAAGGATAACTTAATCTCAGTGCTATTTGAATCACTGTCTTAAGAATCAATAAAATCAAATTTAACCAAGTTTTAACTATTCATACATAGAAAGCTACACAGGAATAACTGAATTGCATAATCATAGAAGAATTTTTGGTTTGTATGGCTGAGTTTCAACAGGATAATGCCTAGGATATTGGCTGTTATTTACTTATTTATTTTTAATTAAAGTTAAAAAGTAGATTTAGGGGGCACAATGCAGTTGTGTTACTTGAATATATTGTGTAGTGGTGACGTCTGAGCTTTTAGTGTAACCATCACTCAAATAGTTTACCTTGTAATCATTAGGTAATTTTTCATTTCTCGTCCTCCTCCTCCCCTCTCACCTTTCTGAGTCTCTGATGTCCATTGTTTCACACTCTATGTCGATGTGTATACATTATTTAACTTCCAGTTGTGAGAACATACAGTATTTGATTTTCTTTTTCTGTTATTCCACTTAAATAACAACTTCCAGTTCCATCCATGTTGCATGCACAAAACACATGATTTTATTCAATTTATTGTGAACACAATCAAAATGGTAGCTATTCATACTTTTGGAGAAACAGCATTTGAAGTTCCATGAGACTGGCAACCTATTCATTGCTATATTTCCAGCTCCTCACACAGCTCCTAGCATATTGTTGGTGCTCAATAAGTATTTGTTGACTGACTTTCTGAGAAGTCTAAGAACTTTTTCTCTAGCAGAAAAGTTTATAGTTTGTTTACTTGTTAACTTGGAGGATTAGATATCTTCAGTATTTTCAGGCAGTGGGAAAATGGTAAAAATGAAATAGATTGCTTCATATGATGTTCAGGTCTAGCAGCCTAAGGTTTTGTGAGATTAACCATTTTAGAATAGTGGTTACTGCTTAGGCTTTGGAGGCAAACAACCTGAAACTGAAACTTGGTGTTACAATTCTTACTATGTGATCTTGTGCTAGTTTTTAAATGTATTTAAGCCTCAGTTTTATTTATTGGGAAAATGGCTATGAGAAGGTAGTCTATTAATATCTTGAATGGCTGAAGGAAGATTAAATTAAGTCAGTGTTTTGTTAAGGTCATATTCTTTTAAATTTTTTCTTTTCTCAGCTTTTATTTTGAGTTCAGGAGTTTACGTATTTGTTACATAGGTAAACTCGTGTCATGGAGGTTTGGTGTACAGATTGTCTCATCACCCATGTACTGAGCCTAGTATCCAAGATACTTTTTTCTGATTCTCTCCTTCCTTCTAAACTCCACCCTCAAGTAGGCCCCAGGGTCTATTGCGCCCCTTTGTGTTCATGAGTTGTTATAATTTAGATCCCACTTATAAGTGAAAACATGCGGTATTTGGTTTTTTGTTCCTGGCATAGTTTGGTAAGGAAAATGGCCTCTAGCTCCATCCATGTTCCCACAAAAGACATGATCAAAGTCAGATTTTTGAAGGTCTTTCTCTTTACCTATAGAAAGTCCTTGATAAGTCCACTGTTCCACTAAGGGATCGGACTATCAGCCATTGTTATATTCACCATTTTCTTGTCCCTTGAATGACTGAGGCAGAATCATATCACAATTACATTTAAAAAAGAGAAGAGCAGGGATGGCATTTTTGAGAGCTCTGTAAATTAACAATAATAGTTACTAATTAAAAACTATAATGGGAAGACTAAGTGGACTGTATGTAAACATAAATCCACAAATTTTGGTCACTTTGGAGTTAAACTTACGTGAAGAATAATGCTATATTTATATTTTTGTAAGTCTATATAACTCTCTCTTTATTCATCCCAATTCAATCAAACATTTTAAAGGAAAAATATGTATTTCAGGGAATTAAATGGAAACTGGTCAAGCTAAACTTTAAAACAGTTATGGAAAAGAATAACTAGGTTGGGATTTATAAAACCTCCGTAGCAGACATTGGTGATGGAATAGTTAACAAGGAGCCTGAGTAAATCTCAGATGAACCCAGACATTTCCTTCTATTGTTATCATGAGTTACACTGTTCATTTTTAAATTTTGATGTTCCTTCTGCAAGCTTGAAATTCTGAGAAAGAAATGTGTTCCCATAATCAGCAACAGCTAAAAAGATAACTGGATATCCTTCCTACTCAGTGGTAGGTAATGTAAATCAGTGCCCTAACTGGGAAAGTCAAACTGTCTTTAAGAAAAATTTAGCTTTAATGGAGCAACAGGGGGTGGAGATGGAAATAGAGAAGGAGAAATTTATCTAGGGGCAAATCTCTCACATCCTGTTTTCTTCAAAGTGAGTCTAGGTGATTTTCTAACTGTTAGGGGTGGAAGGTTACCAAGATGTAGAAAATAGAGTTTAATTGCATGAATTGCTTCCCTGTGATCCTTGGGGAAGGAAACAGTTTGTGGTCATTTGAAATCTCTAGTTAAGCGTAGAAACAGAGCAAACCTGAAGGGTCTTGCTACATCACAGAAAAAAAGAATTTCAAATTTTGTGAAATGTTAACCAACCATTTGAGAGATGATAATGGGATAAGGGTGGAAATTAACTGAGTGCTAATTCACTCCCATTTTTTTAAGTACTATATTTCATTTCTGTCAAATTTAATGAAGATAAAAAGCTTTTGTTTATACAAATTTCATCCATTCCAGTAAACATGTCAGGTACATGGATGTTTAGATGAAAAATCTTATAGATTCACATTTGGCTGTTCTTTTATATCCCAATATTATAATTACTTTCTTCACCTTCTATAGAAGTTCATGAATTTTCTCTGCTCTTATAGATACAATAAGCATTAAAGCATGCTCAATATTTAAAATATTTATCTGTTGCTCTGTTTTCCTGAAATTGAAACCAATATAATTATATACTTGAATCCCAGAATATAATTATTCTCTTAAGGAGAATATTTTTTTATATTCTGACATTCAAGTGTATAATTATATAAGGTTATTATATATTTTACATATAGATGTACACTTGAATAATTGTTTGTATTATGTACTGACATTCAAGTGTGTGTGTATATATATATATATTCAAGTATATAGGTATCTATATACACACTTAAATGTCAGAACATAATAAAAACATTCTCTTTAAGATATGAGATCCAGTCCTAGATCCATCCCTAACACCATCAATTGTTGAATATCAATTTCCTTGCTAATTTATTTTATATAGATGAGTTAAGAGCTCCATCCTATTTCTCAAACTTATGAGAGTAATTGGGAGGAACAAGCAAAATAACATTTATAACTTCATTGTAAAAAAAAATTAGCCAGTTCTACAAAGGTATCACTTTATATTCTGTTTGACATTTGTATTGTCCTGGCACCAATAAATTACATAAAAGAAAATCTAGGACTATTTCTGTGTTAAGACGTCAAATATAGCATATGAAGTGGCTCCGTGTGAATCTTGTGACATCTAGCTGTATCTACTACTTTTCTACCATAACTAAATTACCAATACAATTAATTCTTAGGTAAATACGCATAGTATTAAAATATACAAGTACTGCAGAGCAACTATCATATACTTTAGGAAGATGACAAGTAAAATGCGGAATCAAAGGTTCCTGAAATCCAAGCTAATAAATATGACCTTTTAGAGAGGGAAAGAGCCATCACAAGTTTAAAAGAACTAGGTACACTATTATTTAAACATAATGGGATCACGTATGTCTTTTGAACTACTTCCTCATTGTTACCTGGGAACTAATGGTAGAAGTGTGGGCTCCAGAGTTACATTACCTGGGCTCCAGTCTTCACACTTACTAGCTGTGTAAACATAGGCAAGTTAAATAATATCTCGAGTCTCAGCTGCTCATCTGAAAAATAAAGCCAATAAAATAACTATGTCATAGAGATGTGAGGATTAAATAACATTATTCTTGTAAAGTCTCTGTAAAATGTCTGCCAAAATAGTGTATATTTATGTATCACTTAACATTTTTATTCCCAATAGTGAAATCCTAGATATAGACTGTCACCCTACTTTTTAAAGTGTTTGTTGCTACATATCTTCTCTAAAATTAATGCATCCAGGAAACAAATGCTAATAAAAAGATAAAAGGAATTCAGGCAGCCATTACAAACAGCAGTGAAACAACCCACTTTATCTCAACATGAAACATATATACACAACATCCATATATTTTTATCAGTTTAGCACAAAGTACTCAGAATTCAGAAGCCAAGAAGAACTTGAACCTGGGAGAAAACTCAATATATCTAGACTCTGTAATCTCACTCTTCAAAACCCAAAGACAGACTTGAATTACACAGAGTGCAGAAAGAAATACTTGCCAGTCCTTAAATCACAGCTTCAGTCTTTAACTTTCCCTTAAACATCCTCTTCAAATATAGCTTCCTTCAAATATGTACTTCTTATCTCCAGGATTTATAGATATAGCTTCCATTGCCGCATTTCAGTTCTTAGGAAGCTGCATCATAAATAAGTAAATAAAAACTGTATGTCCCTGTACTTTTATTTTGGTAAAACTTAAGGCGAGCACACAAAAAACTGCCAAAATTGATGTAATTGTTTTCTCATGTGTGAAATTAGCAACTTTTCTTCAAAAGAATTAAAACTAGGACCAGAGACCTGACTTAGATTTCTTCAATTATTGCAATGAGGGTAGGTAGTATTTTTTTTTAAGTATATATTATTTGTTTCAGAAACTCAGAAAGCTCTTGCATTTAGTGAATCCCAAATCCCTTTTCAATATTGTTGGATAAGCAACTACATAGACATAAATTTCACCGTAAAGACACATGATGAAACAGAAGTTATAGCCACTGGAGAACCTTCACTGTGCCTCTCACTGGCTGCCTTGTTACTTGTTAAGCTATGCCTTCAGGGTAATACAGGTGCATCTCAGCTGGAATTTGGTGTACCAAATAATGAGTACAATGTCTGGATGCTCAGATAAAGCAGGGTTTTGAGAAACCTTTGAAAAAAAATTTCATCTTTTTTCTTCTTTAAAAGTTTTGTTCAGGTGTAATTGTCATACAATAAATCATACATGCTTTAAATGTACAGTTTGATAAAGTGTGATGTATGAATTCACTTCTGAAACTATCACCACAATCAAGTACCCAGCAATGGGATTGCTGGATCATATGATAGATTTACTTTTAGTTTTTGAGGCACTGCCATACTGTTTTCTATAGTGTCTGTACTAATTTAGATTTCTACTAGCACTGTACTTGCATCTTAATAAGAATTTTTGTAAAGCTGAGAGGAAAGCAAGGTGAATTGATCAGTTCATAATACCTGTTTGATTTTGTCTTCCATTTGCCTAAGCAAACTTTACAAAGTATTTTTAAAAATCCTGAATAACCAGTTTTTTTTTCTATTTCAATAGGCATTAGGTACTTATATTCTTCATGGAAGTAACATAGTTGTTACAAAAATAAGAATGCCTCTCTCTTTCCTTCCTCCTTGCCTGCATCTGTTCCTTTTTATCTTTCTCCTTTCCTCTCTCTTTTTCTCCTTTCTCTCTATATAACAACTCTTTTCTATTGTGGAAAGAACTTTCATAAATAGAGCGTGCTTTGGGTTTTAGGAGCCCTATTTAAAAGAAAACACTGCCCTTTTGTTGCTGGTGGCCACATGAGACAGTTTTTTTTCACTTTTATGCCAATGTTGAACTTCCTTAATTAAAACAGTAATTATCATGTAATTAACATGAAGTCGTTTGCATAGAAAAGGAAAAGAACCACTGGATGATGGAGCTGGGAGCAGAGTTGCACTAACTTATTTCCATATATAAGTGCCTTCTATTGGGGAGAGAGAATTTTATTTTTGTGATTCCTCAGATAAAATAATGTACTTTGTCACTGACAACAGACCTGTCTATCTCTTCATGTTTTCAGCTTCCAACACAGATAAAATATCCCCTCTTAGGTGCCCCTGTAGCTTATTCAGGGATTTGGCATTCTCATAATTACTCCTTTGAAATATTTCTTCATTAGTAACCCCCTATTTCACTTTGTATGAGATCTTCTGATCCCTTATTTTTCTCATCTTGGAATTTTTTTTAAAAACAAAATGTGTTTTATTGCTTCACTTACTTTTTAATTTTTTGACAGCTTTATTGATGTATATTTGACAAAATTGTAATTTTAAGGTGGACAATGTAATGATTTTCTATCTGTAGAGAAATGATTATCACAGTCAAGTTAGTTAACACTTCTACTACTTCATTTAGTTACCTCTGTTTTGTTTTGTGGTGAGAACATTTATTTCAAGGATACAATTGAGTATTTGGAAGTATAGTCACCAAAATGCTATATGTTCATTATAAAATTTATTTAACTGTTCCAAAAAATAAATTTAAAAATCTGATAATTATTCAGTATTCTATCACCTGTGAACACCTGCTGTTGATGTTTTGGTAAATACATTTCCAGATATTTTTATATCTCTCTGTATCAGTTCTGTATCTTCCCTCCCTCTGTCCCTCCCTCTATTCCTCCCTCCCTCCCCCCCTCCCTCCCTCCCTTCCTTCCTTCCTTCCTTCCTTCCATCCCTCTAACTTGCTATATTGGTCAGTAATATATCATGAATATCCTTTCTTGTGATAAATATTTAACTGCCTTATAATTTTAAGTGGCTGCTTGTAAACTATTAAAATGATATTAGTTAATTAGTCTTCCTTTAGGGGCTTTAAGCTGTTTTACTTTTTTTTTTGCCTTTTAATATTACGTGTTGACAACATTTGCATTGTTAAATTCTGAAGTGAGCTGGTAACTATCAGGCAATGAAAACTATGAGGCAGACTCATTATAAACATAAGGAAATCTTCCAATTGCAACTTGAATAATAAGAATTCTGTAGTTTTGTTTCATTCTTTGAGAAATATATACATTTTTAGGGAGAGTATACCTTTATAAAAATAAAGGTTATAGTTAATAATTGTAAATGTCAGGAATAAAGTAATGTTTTGGATTTTTAACACTAAGCATAATGTTGTGGAAAGAGCATAAAGTTGAAATCCACTGTCCAGAATAACGTCTGTCATCCAACAGAGTAGTGGAGAAAAGTTTTAGAACGTCACCATTTTTCTTGTCCCTTAGATGTTTTAACTAAGGACCCAGTTCATTCGTTCATTCAACAAAAATGTGTTAAGCTACCTGGACCAGGCATGGAGCTGGACACTAGCAATACAGTGATGAATAACCCATTCTCTATCCTTGAGGTTTTCATGGTCCACAAGGTGTAGAAGGTGGATAGTTATTGCTGCTTGGGAAATTGTAGACAGCATCAGAAAGAGTGAGAAATCCTGCTGGCTTTGAACCCAATGTGCATCCTAGCCTGTTTAATTTTTTGTATTCATCTTTTAGAATGTTGTACTCAAGCCCTAAAACATAACTTGAAAGACTATATTTGTACGGTATGTTGAAAGTCATCCCTTGATATGCGAATTAGAAAGAAGAAAACCGAAAGAAAAATGCTGCCTGACTCTAGTCCTGAGAGTAAAAGATAAGATCTTGGCCGACTTCTAAATGTCTTGTCCTTTACTGAGTGTAATCCACGTTGGCAGGCATACCATCATTGAGATAGAAAAGAGTTGCCACGTCAAGCTGGAGTGTCAAATTCAGCCATTTGATTGGATTCTGTGATGGCGGCAGGGTTTGGTTAGGAGACATTTTTATATGATTGTTAGAGTACTACAATATATGTCCACTCTTATATACAAAGAATTCTCATTGTCCAGAGGTTTTATCCATGTTTCCCAAACTTTAATGTGCATAAAAATCAGCTGGAGAACCTGTCGATTTGTATTCATTAGGTCTGGGGCAAGGCCTGAGATTCTGCATTTCTAAAACACTTCTAGGTAACGTCAACACTGCTGCCTTGTAGATTGCCCTTTGAGCAACAAGGACCTAAAAGGTCTTTGTGCCAGTGAGGATTCACCTTTTGTAACTTCATCTATTTGTTTGCAGCTGTGGTGATGGTCCTAAATAGCATGAGTGTCAGCTGGAGTGCCCGGATCCAGATTGTCTTAACCTTTTGCAAGCTCACAGCAATTCTGATAATTATAGTCCCTGGAGTTATGCAGCTAATTAAAGGTATGGACTGAAAAGTAAATGCTTTTTAAAATACTTATCTGCTTTTGGTCTTTTTTAACACTAATTTTTGCTTGTACTAGCAGAATCCTTAGTTAGTCTTTGCTTGTGGAACTTAAACTCTATATTGTCATCTAATTGATTTGAAAGGCTGCTACATTCTAAGTGAGTTGGTTTTTACGGTTGAATGGCAGCGAGAGGATTAAGACTGGGCCAAGCAGCAAAATAAGGCATCAGTGAATTTTCTAGGTATAATGGTTTGGAGTGAAAACTTGAAGTGGAAAAAAAAAATCTGCCAGTTAGTTTTAATTACAGATAAATATATTTTAACCTTAAAATTGTCCAATAATCGTAATAAAAATTACGAAGAAATAGGGATCTGGAAAATAATGAAATATGATCAATAATTCTTTTACTTTCTGGTTATTATTCCTTTTAAATTGAGACTGATATCCTCAAAAGAGGAGTCAATATGAGAACAGCGTTCCTAAACACCAAAATTACCACATTAAAGTAGTCGTAAAAACTTAATTTCTATTGTTACATTATTTTTCATGTAAAATTTGCATTTCTGCTGAAATGTAACATTTTCTGGGATTATTTGCTTTATAGAGTTTAACATTTAATACGAAAAAAGAAGTTGAGAGGTGATATCATTTAGAGTTTAGTTGTTTCAGGAAAGAAGCCACATGCAGTTGCTTGGACTCGGTGGAAATTGTTGGAGGAAAGAGATCCACATGAGTTATGTAATTAGCAACAGGAATATAGCAGGAAATAAGAAAGTGAGGAGAAATTTAAAGGAATGACATAACTTGGGCATGTTAAGTATTTAATGTTTACATTGATATTGTCTGTTCCAAGAAAGGGAATTTATAGAGAAATTTAATGACACTGCAGGAAAAGAATTACACAAGGCAAAAGGAAGTGCCAAAGTTTGGTAAAATCATCACTGTTGGTAGAAGTATTCAACAGTAACAAACACTGAAAGATCAGCTACTCTGTAGCTGGGAAGGGGAGCTGCTGTTGCCCATGTAATAAGCCTAGTGGGAGACTTTAGAGCCCTGCTGGCGGAAATGCTTTTATTAAATCCAGCAACCACAGCCAACACAGGATAAACACGGTGAAGATTTTGACCATTAGAGCTTGCACTGAAGAGAAGACAGGAGCTTGCTCTTCTAATATGCCTTGGCCTCCACAGAGCTAGCCTGCTCATATTCTATCTTACTCATTAGGAATGTAGGCACAATAATCTGTTTTGTTAGTGCTTTATTTTTCTGTGTTAATGCTTCAGTCTTCTGTAAAGAGTTTTTTCAGTACTTGAAAAGTGTAGAATCTCTGGGTCATTGGCTGCTCTTTGATACTAGTTTAGATTCCAAAAGATGATATGCTATCCTTTGAGACTAAGATTTATTTTCTTTTTTTGGTGTAATTTAAGACATTATAGGTAATATTATAGACTGTGTTCAATTTTTACCACTTATTTATATATGTATATGAGGAAGGGTTTGGTTGCCCAAATGTCACTGTATTACAAATTCCTTGAGAGCAGAGGTCATGATATATCTTGAGATTTTTTTTGGTGGCTACAACACAGAGACACTTTAATTAATAATTATGATATCAATGCTACATGTGACAGGCTTCTTCAGAGATCTCACTCAAGAGAGAAATTCCCTGAGAATATTACCACATCTAATGTAAGTTTTGACATTTTAGAGGTCATTGTTAGCAGGTATATTTGCTCTATTACTATAAAATTGTGATTTTTCTTCATCTCTAACATGATCACACATTTTACACATTAATCTGAAACTCTAGTAAGAGACCTTGTTAATATAGATTGTGCTTTTATTTTTGTTCTAATCATATCCTCAAAGTAGTTGTATGTTATATATTCACTTGTGAGGATTTGTTGAACTTTCCTTTGAATATTATGACTTTAATCTTCCTGAGACCTCTGTTATATAGCCAAAGTATTTCTGAAGTTTAGAAACAAAATTGCCTCTTTTTTGTAATATTCTCAAAATGGCACTTTTGAAGCTCTGTGCTTGTGACCCAGTCTTTACAGGATTTGGTTTTTCTTATTGATTATTTGGTGCTGCACTCTTAGAAATATTGTGCCTTTATGCCAGAGACCACAGATCATGATAAAAGAATATTCAACAGATGTTTTTATCTGAATTCCACTATTTATATTTTTCTTCTTGAAGGACGCAGAGATGTTTTAGTAAAATGGGCATTTCTGAATTTATCGTATCATGTAAAACGTGAGCTCTGTTTAGGAATCATTTCCTTTGAAGAAAAAATTGTTGTAATATATAACTTAGCATTCTCCATTTTTGGTCTTCATATTCACACATATTAGATTTATATATATGTTGTGCCTGGACAATGCAGGACACAACTGAGATTTGACTTGGGAGAGTGAGTGCCTTGTACACATCATCTACCCCCAGCCCCCTTCTGTTTATTTACATGAAGTTTGATTTTAAAACAAACTCTCACTTCCCATTTGGCTAATCTCATTTGCTATTTCCTTTGGGCAATACAAACATTGTTTCTACTTAAGCTTGAATATTCACTGACTAAAGTAAATCTGAATTTCTAACTTTTAAAACTATTCAAAAGATATATAGGAACAAGTTCCATTGTGATTCACAAAATAGAGAAAAATGTGAGGAATAAAAGCATTCAGTTCACATGTTGCTGCAAAATTTGTTGAAACCTATTTACTTTAGAGTTTGTTATAATATCTTTTCAATATTTATAGAAAAAAAAATATTCTCTAGGACAGGGTCATGGGGTGAGGGGACTTTCTCTGTAAAGGACAAGATGATAAATATTTTCAATTTTCCAAGCTATATAGTCTCAATTCTGCTACTATAGGCTGAAATCAGCCATAGTCTGTACTTCCTGAATGGGCATCTTTATCTTATAGATAAAGAAAACTCTGCAAGAAAGGCTTGCAGTTTAGGTAGGCAGATACGGTCCTCAGGGTTTTCCAACTTCTGTTCTAGGAGGTAGGCATCTAATGAACTACACAGGATAAACAGAAAACAGAAGGTAAATGATATAGGAAAGGGGTCCTGAGATTTATTTTCATCTCATCATTAAGGGTAGACCCTTAGATACCTCTCTGTGTTTTTTTGCCCAGCAATACATTGTCTTTACTTTTAAGAATTCTACCATATTCGTCAAGATTATAATTTACAGAAAACCCTTTAGTCTTCTTTTATGGTCACAATAGAGGCATACTCAAACAAAGGATTATTTTTCAATGCCATTTTCATCTTTGTTATAAATTTATTAAAAGAGAAATGTGAAATAGTGTTAGTGATCAATTTTTGATTACTAACAATTTTTGATCTCTTTTGGGACCCCATCTATAGAATGGGCACAAGAAATAGATACAGATGGTAATCAACACAGAGTAAGAAATCTAGACTTAAAACAGTATGGTTCTCCACACCCCCATGTTTCTGATTAAGAGTGAATACCAATTCTTTGAAAAATCCTAACATCAGTCTATTTTAATTACAGGTCAAACGCAGAACTTTAAAGACGCCTTTTCAGGAAGAGATTCCAGTATTACACGGTTGCCCCTGGCTTTTTATTACGGAATGTATGCCTATGCTGGCTGGTAAGTTGAAAGCTCCAGATCTGGCAGTTTGTGTAGTTCATTAATCCCATTATGTGCTCAAATTAAGGGCTAAGCAAGGTTCCAGACACATGTGAATAGCCATAATCCAGTGTGATAGGCTTTACATGAAATGAGAAATAAGGTATTGTCACCTCTACCAGGCCAATTCTTTTGCACATGACAATGCAAACGTAACAGATTTCCAGTCAAGGTAACTACTAGATTCAGCCCAATGTCATTAAAAAAACAAACAAATGCTGGGTCTTAAGATCCAATAAAAATTACTTATAAGTATGTATCAGTAAGGACATAATAGTGCCATAAGGTACTGAAGAATAATACTTCACTTGTCAAAAGGCTTTTCAGCGAAAGCTCCAAAGGTATTTACAAATAGTGATTAATTGATTTTTTTCCAGCTTCTCATGAGATAGAGAAATAACTCAGATGTAGAAATAAGTAAGACGTTCCCAGGAGTTAATGGTACTCTAAAGGCAGAGAAAGAGAAACCAAGATAATGCAGTCAACTCTACTAGACAATCTGTTACATTTAAAAGGACCTGATATGCTCCTTAAAATTTCCCCAATATCAGAAAATTTAAAAAAGCAAAGATGATTAAAATCATGATGCCACAGATATATTTCGTTTGATGCATGTCCATCTGCGATACCTACCGTTCTGTTTAAGGCACTAAAACTTTGTATTTGTACCTTGTATTGTTCAGATACTTGAAAAACAGTAATTATGGATGAGAGTAGGATTTTTCCTCAGTAAATTTTATTGACCTAGTAAGATTTAGTAGAGATGATCGTTGTAAGAAAGCCTATGAGGTATTATTTAAATATCAAAATTATTATAGTAAGATTAAATTTCATTGTTATGGGGTAAATCAAGGCAATATTTATTTTTAAATTATTTATAAAACTCATTGTTATACAGCTTTAGCTGTGAGAATGATCTATGAGCCTGAAAGTAATATTAGGAAACAATACTAGCTCAAAAATTATATGAATGCATTTCCAACACAAATATAATTCCTTTTGTTTCTTTAGTTTTTAAGATCTTACCTTCTAGCTAAGGCATAGAATATAGATGTATTTCAAAACGAATGGAGTATTCACCCTAATAATCTCATTGAATTATGAAAATATAGTATTAGAGGATAATTAGGGAGTTATGGGAACTTAAAACCTTAACGTGGCCTTTGAGGCAAAATATGTTTGAAGAATGTTAGAAGATTGTAGCTCTAAGGAGATCAGTGTAAAATATTTGTGTATTCCCAGAATATTTTTATAACCATTATATGTAAGCATCAGGTTTGAATCACTCGGTGCTTTTGAAGTCTTTTTGCTTTTGTCCGAAGCACAATGTGGTGCTAGACAGACAAAAGAACTGAGCGTGATCACAGGGTTAAAGCAGAATCAACTGTTCTATGGCTGTTCAGCCTGGATCAGAGCTCTGTGCCCTGGGGCTGCAGCCAAGCTACTGGGAGGGTCACTGGGAGACACCAGAGCAAAGCGGGGAGGTAGAGAAAGCTTTCAGCTACAGCCAAGTGTTGGGAGCCCAGCAATACGCAACCAGGAGTGTGGAATGTGAGGATAGTCACAAGGGAGATTTGATTAATTCTGTTGAATGAAATTTCTTTTGCTTGTGAATACCATAGATCTGTTCCCATGCAATCTTAAAATATCCTTTTACACCCCCTCACTTTTCCAATACCCAGAACTCAAAATTCAGGTCACTTGCTTTATGTAGAGCAAAACTTCCCCATTTATGTAGGCTTTTGAGAGCTGATGAATTTCTCCAAGGATGAAGATCCTTTTCATTTTGATTTATCTTATTAATATTTAACTTTATTGATGCTGACCCCAAAATATTACTCTAATTACAAGGTAAAAGGGGTTTACGTGAACCTTATTTAATACTTTTACCCATATAAACCTCATGTCTACTCCTGATTTGAAAGACCAAGAAACCATTGATTTCTTTATATCCTTTTAGGGTTCAATCACAGTATTGAAAAATAGGTCCAGGATTTAAAATGGAATGTTATCTGATACAAGTGACTTATGTAGGGGACAGATAAGTAACTGTTTCTGTAACAGGTTGTTGTGCTACCTGAATGCTGCTTAGTGAAGACGCAGAAATAATCTGGCTGTTAATCTATGGTCATCAGTCTTAGAAAAAGGAAGCTGTGTTTAGAAAAAAATATAGTCTGTTGGTGTGGAGTTCCAGAGGAAAAGTTATTACTGAATGTGAATGAAACAAGATGGAGGCTAAAAGAATTCCCAAAGAGAGGGGCATTTATTCACTTGCCAAATGTGATCCCTGCCTTTCTGACCTTTTTCTGTTTCAAGATATAATTACAAGCCTGGGTTGTAGAATTATCAGTGGGGTACTGTAAAGGATTCTCCACTCTCTATGCTGCTGCTATGACAATGTTTGACAGCCCCCTACTAAAAGGTGGCGGCATTGAAAATGAGTAAGCCAGAGGCAAAACAGCTATTGTCATTAGAGCTTACTGCCCAGCCTGTTAGCCTGTAAGAAAAAGCATCAAGACCATTGTTGTCCTGGAGACCTTGCTCTGCTAGTAAGAATAAAGATACCACCAAACCCAGGGGGGAATATGAATAGAGGAGGCTTTTCTCCCTGAAGAATGCAGAACCTTTCTAGAATGATAAAGCTACTTCACAGAAGCTTAGTTAGGGGAAAAAGAAATCATCAGCCTAGCCAGGTCACACAGCTGGGTCAGAGCAATGTTAATAACATTGCCAATGTCTGCATTCAGAGAAATACATCTGCCAGTCCTCCTGTGGCCATGGGGAACTCAGTCCCATATCCTGGTCCAAAGCTAAACATTGCTTGGTAGGATTTTCTTTTTTATTTTCTTTCTTTCTTTTTTTTAATTGTGCCATAGAAAATAGTTTTCAGTGTCTTTTTCTCTTCCTTTTAAATCCTATTCTCAATGGATTTAGTCTTTCTAAAGCACTTGCTGGGATTATTTTGTACTATTGTGTCAAATCTAATCTAAAGAATAAGCTTATTTCTAAAATAATTCACATAGTTGGGTATTGGAATGTATTGCCAACATTGCAGTACCTTTTATGCACAATCACGGAAAAGCTGAAATAATAGATCATATGAGCATTCTCTAGAGGACTTGAAGTGTTGTAAGCCAAAGGGAATGCCATGGACTCATTTCTGGAGACTAAAACCTAAAGGTGGATTTCCCACAGGATGTGTGAATGTTTAGACTAAAACCAGAAGCTTTCTCCTTCCTACCCACCACCCTGCTCCCAGCCCTTCCTTTTTGTCTACTCCCTGGAGCTACGGAAAATTTTGAAATTGTGGTTTTTTTTTTCATAAATATTTTATTTATTGCTTTAACATTGTTGGAAAAGACTACTTTCTAAAACAACTGTTAGGAAGGAACTGGCTAGTTTTGACATGAGAAGCGTAGAAATATTTCTTGGTGTGTGTGATTTTTCACTGGTGATGGTTTTTGTTTTTTGGCATGAGTGTGTTTCTTTCTTTTTTCTTCCCCTACTTTCCACTGCCTCAGGCTTATAGCAAACACATCAAACCCCTCCTGGAGTGCATATTGCAGATATAAGGACTGATTGTTGCTGGCTTTCATGGTGTAACTACAATCTCTATTTTTAGAAACTTATTTTCTAGTCATTAAAACAATCTTTGGCTCCTGACTTTTTAGATCACCATTATTGCTACTGTTCTGTCAGCTTTTCAATTGTTTCCACTTAAAACAGTCCTTAAAATTGTGGACACTTTAACCTTGAACATCGACTGACTACTTGTGAATTTAGATGGTTTGATAAAGATGGAGCAAGACAGATTTCTTCATCTTTGTTTTAACTGGTGAGATACTTAAAGTATGCTAAGAGTTGATGGGCTAATATTCCAGCCACTTGATTTTAGATTTTAGAGAATTTGTACCTATGAACCTGTTCTCCTGCATACCTATGTAAAAAGTTATTTTAAATAATAAGAAAATAATAGAAGATTATATTAAAAACATGATTTTTTTTATTTCACAAAAAAATTTCTGAGCATATAAAAGGAAAAGGTAGAGGAAACTTTGCCTTCCTATGTTTGGTTCTTTTCTATAGTAATCCATCTGCCACACTTGTACTGCAGAATACTAAGCGAATATTCATTTGCCTGTGCCTAACCCCTCTGCCACACTTTTGTGCTCATGTGCTATTCTCAGTCTGGAATGGGCTCACACCACCTCACCAAGGCTAAAGAGAAAGCAATTTTTAAAGGTTCAAGTTGGGTGATGCCTCCTCTAGAAAACTTCTTTTGACCTTCCAGGTTGGGCTAGACCTGCCCTCTGGCTCCCATGTATTTGCTCAGCATTGGTTCTGCGCTGTATCATACTATTCTGTGGGGCATTCTCTGCACTATGAGCTCCTGAGACTATGGGCTTACCACTTGCATGTCTCTGACGTGAGAAGCACTCCGTAAATGTGGCTTCATAGAAAAATGATTTGTGGGAGCATTTGGTGGTTAGCTATTTTCATCTTACTATAAGTGTTGTTATAGTTTTTGTAATTCTAAGTTCAATTTCAAATAATTTAAATTTGAGACTTTGGATAGCAGCAAAATACATTAATAGTTTGTGATTTATTTATCTATTTTTAGGTTTTACCTCAATTTTGTAACTGAAGAAGTAGAAAACCCTGAAAAGTAAGTAGCCAGATGAACCCTGAAATTTTCCTGAAGAATAAAATTTACGATTATGTAGTTTAAAAAGTAGACCTGACGAAGAAATTCAGTGGGGGCTAGTCAGCCTTAACATCACCATCATCACTATAATTCTCTTAGGCAGATAAGAGTTATTTGACTTTATCATAAATTATATACATAATAATATATCATAATTATATATAAATAGCTTAATTGTATATTCTACATTCAATACTAGGTTGTCTTTAACCTAAAAACATAAAAGAATAAAGTTATATTTTAGGTAGCCTATTCCATATAAACACATACATATAACTTAATAGGGACTCTCAGCTATCCACAGGGTAGCTTGAACTTAAAAAGTTAATTACTTCTAACAATTCATATAATCTTTTTTCATAACTGTTGAATTAAAGTGGATAATGTAATTAATGGACGATTACTTATGAAAGCCTAGAAATACCTGCAGAATGTTAGAGGAACTTATAAATTTTGGAAGCTGGATAATTTCTACTCTTTCTAGATAACAACTTGATAAGTAGATAATTTGATGATGATTTATATAGTATTTTCAAAATGAACTAACTTAGAGAAAAATGAATTATTCATATGAGTTGTTCATAAACATTGGATATTTTACGGAAAAAATCAATTCATGGGCAAAGAGGGAAAATTTAGGAACTAGAGTATAGTATAAAATGTAGACTAAATCATAAAGTTATTTAATTCATTTTACTTTGTTGAACATCTGCTGTGTTCCAGCCATTGTGCTGGGAACAGCTTTCATGATGCATAAGACTCGTCTTGAAGTATTTTATTGACTAGTCAGTGAGTCAAATGTTTGAACAAGTAAATGTAACACTGTGATTGGTACAAAAACAGATTGTTTTTCCAGTTTGGCAAAAAAAAAAGAAGGAAATACTTAAGTGAATCTAGGGAGATGTTTATAATTAGTCTTAAATGATGAGTACGTGTTCCTTAGGTAAAAATGAGAAAGAAGAGGAGTGTGGGAAGAGAAAGAGAGAGATAGAGGAGAAACACACACACACTGATTTCTAGGAAAAAGAACAAGTACAAAGGTGCATTAGTATGAAATAGCCTGGACATCAAAGGATATGCCTACAGGTTGACAATTCACACTAAGATAGACTAAGAAATTCTGGCACCTGGCATCTTGGGAGATGGTAAACTGATTAGATATGACCAAGTACCAGGAATGTCAGAGTTTAGAACACATAAGCCAGCAATTGGTATCTGATTCAACTCCTATGCAAATCAATATGTAATTTAAACATGTGAAAGCCTATTTTATTAAGAAATATGACCACTTTATGCCAGTATTGTCATATTTATAACTGGAATGAATTGTAGGTAGAGAACACATATTTACCAAGAGCTAGTTCTTTCTAAGCATTACTTGGAAATGATAAGCTACCTTATGACTGTAAACCCATTGATTACAGAGATAAATGGATTGGTCTGTCTTTTTAGTTTTAGAGAATTATTTGTATATAAGTGGCAGCATAGAGAAAAGGCAGTTCTTACTGGATGTAATATAAAATATTTATTGAATTTCTATTATGGGAAATAAATTACTATGGTTTGTAACTGTGTCTGTTAAGTCTACAGACATTTTAAAGACATCAGTTACTAGAATCTAACGTAAGAGAATATTTCTTACAAGCAAATGGCAAATTGTAGGGTTGCAGACAAGACCTATAACATTACATTTATTATAGGATGCGTCAGTGGTGTAGATCTAGTTCATATTCTCTTTAATATTATTTAACAGTTTAAGCATGATTTTTGTTTGCCACATATACAGTAATATTATTGTGCATATTAAGCATATCTTTAAGCCACTTATGCCATTATTACTTCAACCCAAATGTCTGACATATTCCACTAGACTAGTGTTCCAATTAAGGATTCTCTCCTCTCTTTATTTGAAAGGCCTTAGTTTCACACCACAGATAATGTCCATGATGTAGTGCACACAAATACTAAGGAACAGGTTATGGTAGTGTATTAACTTAGTGCCTTTTTTTTTCTGTTGCAAAGAAATTCCCTTATCTCAAAAATGGAAATAATAATAGCACATACTTCACTGGGCTGTATTGATGAATTAATATGCATAAAGTGCTGAGATTAGTGACTGTCACTTTTTAATTTCTACGTAATTGTTTGTTTGTCTTTACTACTATTATTGTTATATACTTTATTAGAGCAAAGTAAAATGTTATTCACACAATAGTGTTTTCTAGAATTCAATATTCCAAGCAATTATTTTTCTTCAGAGCTTTTGAAAGCAATGTGAAAAGTTATAGCAGTTTGAAGCTTACTGTTTAGACTTTCAGTGTCAAAGCTGAATGTGCAGTTTTGGTCTCTATTATGCATTCTTGATCCATAAAATACCTTTATGGGATATCTATGCTACTTTGATGCATGCATACAATGTGTAATGATCAAATCAGGATAATTGGGATACTCATCACCTCAAACATTTATCATTTTTGTGTGTGTATTGAGAATGTTCCAAATGCTCTCTTTCAGCTAATCTAAAACATACAATGTTTTTGATAACTACCGTCACTTTACTGTGCCACTGAACACTAGGACATATTCTATCTAACTTTGTTTTCAATAACCAACTTATCTCCATTGCTTTCTCCTTGTTCTTTCTAGCCTCACTATCATTTTAGTCTCTACCTTCACAAGATCAACTTTTTTTTTTAGCTCACACATGAGTGAAAACATGCAATATTTGTCTTTCTGTGCATGGCCTACTTCACTTCATATAACGTCCTTCAGGTAATTCTATGCTGCTTCAAATAACAGAGGAAAGATTTCATTCTTTTATTGGCTGAATAGTATTCATATATATATGTATATATCACATTTTCATGTAGATTGATTCCATGTTTTGGCTGTTGTGAACAGTATTGCAATAAACATGAGAGTGCAGATACCTCTTTGGTATACTGATTTCCTTTCTACTGGTTACATACCCAGCAGTGGGATTTCTGGATCATATGGGAGTTCTATTTTTAGTGATTTGAGAGCCTCCTTATTGCTCTCCATAACCCACCAACAGTAAATTTTAGATTCAGGGGTTACATGTGTAGTACCTGAATTTAAAATAAAAGTTGTTTTATCTGTTACATGGATATATTACATGATGCTCAGGTTTGGGGTATGAATTATCCTGTTGCTATTGGGTAGTAGGCATAGTACCAAGTAGATAGTTTTCAGTTTTTGCTGCCCTCTGGCCCTCCCTACTCTAGTAGTCCCCAGTATTTATTGTTTCCATCTTTATGTTCATGAGTACCCAATGTTTAGCTCCTACTTATGAGTGAGAACATGCAGTATTTGGTTTTCTGTTCCTCTGTTAATTTGCATGGGATAATAACCTCCAGCTGCATTCATGTTGCTGTAAAGGATATAATTCCATTCTTTTTTATGGCTGCATAATATTTCGTCATGTATATTACCACATTTTCTTTATCCAATCCACTTTTGATGGGCACTTAGGTTGATTCCATGTCTTTACTATTGTAAATGGTGCTGCAAAGAACATATGAGTGCATGTGTCTTCTTCACAGAATTACTTATTTTCCTTTGGGTATATACCTAATAATAGAATTGCTGAATCAAATGGTAGTTTTGTCAAAAATTCTTTGAAAAATCTGCCAACTTCTTTCCACAAAGGCTGAACTAATTTACATTCCCACCAACAGTGTATAAGCATTCCCTTTTGTCCACAACCTTGCCAAAATCTGTTATTTTCTGACTTTTTAATAAAAGCCCTTCTGACTGATGTGAGACGGTATCTTATCGTGGTTTTGTTTTGCATTTTCTGATGATTACAGATGTTGAACAGTTTTTCTTATGTTTGGTGGCCACTTGTTTATCTTCTTTTGACAAATGTCTGTTCATGTTTTTTGTCCACTTTTTAATAGGATTATTTGGGTTTTGCTTGTTGAAATTGTTTAAGTTCCTTATAGATTTTGGATATAAAACTTTTGTCAGATGCATAGTTTGTGAGTAATTTCTTCCATCCTGTAGGTTGTCTGTTTACTCTGTTAATACTTTCTTTTCCTGTGTAGAGCTCTTTAATTAGGTCTCGCTTGTCAATTTTTGTTTTTGTTGCAATTGCTTCTGAGGACTTAGTCATAAATTATTTCCCAAGGCCAATGTCCAGAATGTTATTTCCTAGGTTTCCTTCTCGGTTTTGAGAGTTTGAGGTCTTACGCTGAAATCTTGAATTAATCTTCAGTTAAGTTTTGGATATGATAAAAGATCGGGGTCCAGTTTCATCCTTTTGCATAAGGCTGGCTGGTTATCCAAGCACCATTTTTTGAATAGGGAGTCCTTTCCCTATTGCTTATTGTTGTTGACTCTGTTGGAAATCAGATGGTCCTAGGTCTGTGACTTTACTTCTGGGTTCTCCAAATTGTTCCATTAGTGTATTTGTCTGGTTTTTATTTGTATCATTCTGCTTGGGTTACTGTAGCCCTATAGTATAATTTGACGTCAGGTAACGTGTTGCCTCTGGCTTTTTTTTTTTTATGTTTGTTTGTTTGTGGTTGCTTTGTCTATTTTGGCTCTTTTTTTTGTTTCATATGAATTTTAGAATAGTTTTACCTAGTTGTATGAAAAAGATGTTGGTAGTTTGATATGAATAGCACTGAATCTGTATATTGCTTTGGGCCATACTGCCACTTTAATGAGATTTAGTCTTTTAAGCCATGAGCATGATATCATTTTTCATTTGTTTGTGTCATCTATATTTTCTTTCAACAATGTTTTATAGTTCTCCTTGCAGAGATCTTTCACCTTGGTTAGATGTACTTCTAGGTATTTTTTGTTGTTGTTTGTGTGGCAATTGTAAACGAAATTGTATTCTTGATTTGGCCCTCAGCTTGAATGTGATGAGTGTATAGAAATGCTACTATTTTTGCACATTGATTTTTGAATCCTGAAACTTTACTGAAGTTGTT